TCCATTACCAAGACATTCGCTTTGGTTAATTTCTTCACTTCCCGAACTCGAACTCCGATTATCACCATAAACCATTTTAATCTTCTCAATGTTGTCGATTTTTTTTTCAATGTGTTTATCCATAATAGCTTGAACGATACCGAAGATTTTACTACCGTGTTTCCTCCACGAATCAAAAACTCATAAAACAATAAAAATGGAAGATCAATAATAAAAAAATAAATAAAAATATCAATACTATAAATGTATATTTTTAGAAATTTTATGATTTTGTAACTCCTCTTTAATGGTATGTGAGTTAGATAGCAAATGAAATGACCCAATTACACTTGACATTAAATTGTGAACATGATAGATACCTAATAGAAGAATGGATTGTGATTGGTTGATGGTTTGCAAAGTTAACATAAAATTTTTGGTTAACATTTGATCTTGTCCCTATATATATATATATATATATACATGTATTAATTCAAACTTAATCTGAGTTTTTGGACAAGAAAGAGGGTAAACAGTTGAAATTTCATTCTAAAACTCATCTTTTTTGGTCTTTTCATGACTTATGATCTGTTAAATTTGTAGTTTTCTTATTGGTTTTGAGTGTTTATCTTAAAACTCAAGTTTTTTTGGTTCTTTGCTCTTGGTGTAAATTGAACACATTTGTGGAGTCGTTTAAATATATTGGATTTTAAACTGTCATACAATTTTTTTCATCAATAGTCTGTAATTGGAACCATAACTTTTATTTATTCAAATTGTATTAATATGTAAATATCAAGTGTAACCTATATAATCGTTAAATCTTATCTTATAAAACCAGCGGAACTTCAAAATCGTTAAAATTCATGGCTCCTGCCCTATTGCACGAGTACACAACTAGTCTTCTAAAAAACAATATCTTATCGATATATACATACAAATTACTGACTAAAATAATAAAGTGAAAAATACTAATATTTAGGTAGTATTAATTTTCATCGATTACATAAACATTGGTCAAACGTCATAATACGACATTTTATTATTTAAAATAAAATAAATTTATAAAATAAAAGTGATGTTGGGTTATAAAAGTAAAAGTAGTGAAGTCATAAGAGGCTTTGCGTGTTAATTGGAGAAGCAGTAGTTAAAAAAGGAATAATATAATATTAAAAAGCAATATTTTTGATAGTTACTGAGGTTCCTTTGGACATATCTTAAAACTTGTGATTTGTGATTTTATGATTTGAATAAGTGGATGTGGTTTGTAATGGATAAGTCAATATTATTATTTTAGTAATTAAAATAAAAATAAAAATAAAAGCAGCATCTTATTAGCACTCAATTTCCAATAAAAAGAGTTCCACATCACATGCTCTTCCCACTATCAACGGGATCTACGTCGCGAATATTCCCTTAATCCTCTTCACCTCTTTATTTTATACAACCTGGCTTGGTCTTAGCTAACTATTATCCAATATATAAACATATTTAATATACATACATATATATATATAGAGAGAGAGAGAGAGAGAAGATGTCAGATATGAATTTTTATTTGTGTTTAAGGTTAATTTGATTCATTTGGGGCTAATTAGTTTGTTTATATTAATGTTAATTTGGGCTTAGCTATTTCCTGTTACTTTATGTATATATTTCTCTTCTAACTCTTTAGACTCCAACATAAAATTTTAGGCTACGGTTTTAGGGGTTAATTCGTTTATATCTGAACTATCTATTCACATAAATATCATCATGATTACAAAAAAAAACCCTGTGTTTGTGGAAATTATTTAAATGGAAAACAAATCATAAGTTTTTTTAAACAAAACAAATCAAGGTTTTTCCTTAAAAAGAGCAAGATATCCGAAGAAACATGAAACAGAGTCACAAGGGAAAATTAATCAATTACATTAATTAGAAACAAATTACAAAATGCTTTCAAATACAATGTGCAAAAGAATAGTATGAAACTCACAACTTCTGGAATATGTTAAAAATGTACTTATTTTAATTTTTTTTTTACCAAATGGCCCTTAGCTTCCTCTCCAGTAGGAGAGGAGTCTTTAGGGTAAATGAATTCACAATGAGTAAAATATGAGAGATGTTACAGTAATTTTAACAAGTTAACCTTCCTGACATTGGACCTAAACTTTGTACACCCAACCCCATTTCAGCTTTCCAACTCCAAACAAACTTTAACCGGACTCCCCACCCCTTCGCTCTGATGCTTCCCCTGTTGCTTAGATTGATGCTGAGACCAATACGCGTGTGCAGCCAACACTCGGTCCAGAAGATCTTGCGGTACAGGCTCTCCCCTTCTTTGTTGAGGGGAGATACTTGCCGTGTGAACCAATGTTTTCCATTTATCCTATATATAGTAAAGCAAGTCGCATTGATCATTAGTGTTGGCACTTTACGGGCAACAATAAAACGGTGTAATACATCAAATATGGACATAAAAACAGAACCTAGATTTCTTACCTTCAAGTCCACATAAGTTCGGTGGTTTGCATCATCAAACGCACGTATTTTAACATCACGCCATCTACAGAAATTTGAAAGAAGTTAGTATTGGAACTAATGTTTACCAACAGCATGGTTCTATACTTTTATTCAACAGAGAGTATTGCAAATGGTGGTCTTTATCACCTTCCGGTTCCAAGTGTTTCGACTGCTTCCACAAGTGCTTCTACTTCAGATACAGAGAACGGCCTCCTAGTTCTACGTTGTGAGAGTTCAGATCTCTTGCTCTGTTTATGGTTTAATGGCACTATCGAAAGCGCCTCCACATTCATTGCTGGGACTGGCACAAGAGCTTTGCTATCCACCACTATTTCTTCTGTTGATACTTCATCTGGGAGTGGTTTACTTTCTCGATTCATCTCAACTTGGTTGTCCAAACTAGTTGCCGATGGAGGATCCCCTAAAGAGTTTGAGAGTCCCAAATCCGTAATAGGAGTAGCTGGACCCCTGACAACAGCATAATATAATATTGTTAACATAAAAGTCAAAATTGGGTAGCATGCAACTTTGACGTCAAGAAAGGGAGACTTTGTATTACCTGGCTGGTGATTGGTGAGTGTCACATGGTAGCAACAACGGATGTTCTTCCTGAATCAGAGACTCGGAAGGTTGGGGAAGATTTGGCTCCAACATAAATCCTAAAGTATCGCTGTTCAAAGAAATTCCCGTTTGTTGTAGTGTTCTGTTGTCATCTCTAACCTTCTTGCCTTGAACAAGTACCCCTACATGTAACTCACCTCCTAGAATAGCTGTGACAGCCTCCATAATGGTCCTCTGTGGAAAAATATTTGCAGCACAAAGCACAATGAGAACCGAAGAGAACGAGTTTGATTGTAGACAATAAGGAATATCGGATGATGTCTAGGCTTATCATAACATCTGGTTTAAGTCCCAGTGTAGTGGCCAACAAATAAAGGGTGCTTGATCTTGAAAAATCAGGATGGTTATATTAGAAGATAACTTTGCTGAGAGTGTATACCTTCAAAGAACCTACTGTTGATGTCTCTGGCATCTCAACATGTAGTTCTGGCACTTTAAAGGACTTTATGCTAAATTTCACTGAAGGAAGAATCATCATACATGTGAGAGGCCTATCAAATGAAAATTAAACTGTATATATGCGAGGGATAGAGTGAGGGACCGCAAGAGTACCATGGCCATCCTTAGATTGAAAGGAACCTTTGTGGTTGATAACTGAAGATGTCACTCCTCTTGCTGCATGACCATAACATAATTAGTTAACTAAATGTCTTGATCCATGAGATGTTTAGAAAGAAAACTTGGAGAACTAAAAGGACCTCTTTTTGAAGCAGCGGGTGAACGCTTCTTATCTCCACGGGCGCTCCTCTCGTGTAAATTAGATATACTTTCACTACTTGCCTCCTGAACATAGTCAGATTTCAAGCTATGATGAAACAGCTTCCTTCTCTTAGAAGCAGCCTCTGCTTGACAACATTTTCGCATGTACATATTTTTCTTGTTGTGGTCGAAGGGATTGACTCCACCACCTAAAAGAACCAATATCATGACCTAGTAAGAAAGGGACCACATGACAAGAAAGATGTACAAGCATGTTAAGATAGTTCTCCACTTACTAGTAGGGTTAGAGAGTTCATAATCTTTCAGCTTTGGAGCAGCTTTCCAGTACTTAGCAGTCAATATCTTCCTTATTCTTCTATATCCAGCACGTGACTGCAGCCTAAATGCCCTCATTTTGGTACTATGGTGATTGCAACTAAAAGAGTTTTCATCGTCATCTCTAATACCTATCTTTACATTGCCCTTATGCTTCGGAAAACAAGCACTAGGAACAGGATCACTAAAAAAGGGTACATGTACACTGCTATATGATTTACTTAATACACCGTGATTTACAGATGATTTCCCTGTATCGCGGAAACTGCAAGTCTTAACTGCAGTCAAGTCTTCACTTTGTTTTTCTACTGCCTCTGTATGTAGTTCGGCTCTATTCGTATCCATGTTAACATCACATAAATCCCCACTAAGAGGGCCATCAACTCCATGCTTGCCATCAGAAGCTTCCAACTGCACATTTGTGCCCACTTCCTTCAAGAAATCTGATGTGGTAACTACAGAAGCATGTTCTAAACCAGAATCATTATCAGACTGTGGCAGATCCGTCAATAGGGGTTCTATCTTTAACTCTGGGTTGGAGTGTTCATGAACAAACCCACTCTCAGCACAGCATCCTTGATCAAGATACTCTAATCTTAAAGGTTTAAGTTTGACATCAAGTGGTTCCTGCTTGACACCGTCTTTCGGAATGCTAATCTGTTCTTTTCCTTCCGAACCAGTGCTAGAAGCGGAACTTTCACTCTCCTCCAATAACTTGCCAGCTACAGCTGCCAGCAACTCAAAGGGGCAAATTTCACTACCCTCTGATGACTTCTTATGCCAATTCCTCTAAAAGAAACAAGAAGTGTGTCAATAGTTCTCATAATTTAGGGGAAATATTGATCAAGCAAATTCAACTGTATACTCACCCTTAAGGACCTGGGAGCTTTAGGTACCACAGGGGCACGGAAACCATCAAATCCTCCATAGTATAGTCTCTTCTTTGACACCATCTCTTAGGCATACATGCCAATACAAGAACATCAACCACAACAAGCACTGACCGGGACTTTCTGTTATTATAGAATAGAGGAATCAGAAAAGCTTCCTATATCATAGCATCTCTTTCATTGATCAGGTAATCATCATCCAGGTCTTGTTTACCAAACTTGATATTCAATACTAGGTGGAATTGATGCACAATTATAGCATTTGTGCAAGATCCGGTTAAAGTAACATGTAATGAGACGCATCCCACCATCTATATCACTAAAAGATGAAAGCTTTAACAGACAAGGACCCTACTTTCTGAAAAGGTCCAGTTAAAAACCAGATTTGTAAGCCAATGTCGGGCATTAATGGTAGGGCAAGCAAGCACCAGGATGCAAACCGTAAATTTACTGATTCAGTCAACTGATTATCAAACAAAATTTCCAAAACTTTTCTACATCTTTGCTGCAACGATCTTTGAGAACAATAAATCCTGATTCTTGCTATGGGCACAAGTTAAGCACAAACTGGTGATCCAAAGATTGACTTTATTTCCTTTTTCATTCCGATCCAGCTTAAACTAACAAGGATATTAAGTAGATAATTCACAATCCTTGGTACACCAGAAGCTCAATTCCATTATTTGGGAGGTAAGATTAATAATGACGATAGATATAAAAAAATATATGTATACGCATACATATTAGGAGAGATCTATAGAAAGCTCGCCTTAGTCCCCACATAGAAATGAACGCCCAAGTTAGTCAAACATTTTCAACAAGATTAACAAATATAGAAAAACAAGAAAAGTAAAAGTACATGCAATATCAATTTACTATTGCAAAAACCTCATCCACAAATAGCAGCGCCATAAAGTTCATAATCAGTTGATTACCTATAAATTGACAAAATAGCATTTCACCTTCAATCAGGTCCCAGAAATATAAATAATAAAATTACAAGTCAGAAATCCACAAAAAAAATTAAACTGAAGGCGATCAGACAGAAATCAGAAGCTGTAAGGAATCCGATCCGATCTCAATACTTGCAATTCCATGGATACAAAATCAAAACCTAACAGTCGAGCTTAATTCCGGTAGAGATCGGACGAAATACAAAGAAAAACACCAAGTGAGACGAATCGGAAGACAGAAAGTGAATATATTCGGCGATCGGGTGAAATTACCTGTTGGCGATTGATCTGATTAATTGCTATGTTAGACGTAACTGTACAAGGAGCTTGAGATTCGAAATCTGTATGATAATCTGTGCAATCATAAACAGAGAATTGTAACAAAAAATGTAATAATTGTTAGAGGGAGAAATTATGAGATCAAGATGAAAAGAAAGAAATAGAAATGGGGGAGAGAAAGGAGAGGAGAGAAGGAGCTTAAACCCCCCCTGTTTTATATATTTAGAGAGAGGGAGGGGTAAAAGTGTAATTTGAGGAGGAAAGAGCAGGTGACCATAAACCTCTGTAATCTCTTTGAGACGGTTTTTAGGACCACATGGCCATACCCTTCAATTTCTCTTCCAAAGTTTGCGTGGATATGTGGATAGCTTTTGACACGTGTGCGGGTTTTACAAGCCTTCCTCAATTCCATTTTCTTTCTTTTTTTCCAATAATCTTTTATTTTTAGTCCTTTCTCATTGGTGTAATTGGAATTGCTTGTTTAAAATAAAATGGTTATTCGTTTATTTCGATATGATATCGATAATAAAAGAGTTTTTGATGTTTAAATAAAAAAAAATATTTATATCAATTTAGTATTGATAACAAGAAATTTTTGATAGGTTATTTTCTTATTAATTTATTTCGATATGATATTGATAATAAAAAGTTTTTTAGTGTTTAAATGAAAAGAAAAAAAATATTTATCAACTTATTATATTATAAAAAGAAAATAAATATTAGGGAGGTTACATGCAATATAAAAGATCCAAGTGACAAATGGGTTACGTCTGTGACCTTACTTTTTCTTTATATATATTTTGTTGAATACTTAGTAGTGTTTTTAAAATTATATGTGATTGGATATACTTTAAATTAAGATTCATATATCAAAATGTGACGTACAACAAGTCCATTATACATAGGAGCTTTTCGATTTTATTTTAACCTAAGATACAATCCAATATTATTTATAACATATTTTAAAATATTATTACATATAAATCTTACAAAGTCTTGTGAAATATCAATCATATCCGTGAAATTTCTAAATCTCATGTTTATTGAATTTCAAATCTAAAAGACCTTTCAAATCAAATTTAGGGTTGAATCTGTTAAAATCCAATTCCATTTGCAAATCAAACGAGACATAAGAATCAAAAATTGAGGGATTTGAGGAGCTAAGGTATGTTTGGTACATAGGACAGAAATCTCTGTTCCATGTTTGACATGAATTTTATGTGGAACAGACAAAAATAGAATGGAACAAAGTGGAACAGACATGTTCCACCCCTATCCCATGACACATGGTGGAACAAAGTGGAAGATACTTATATTTTACTAATATAATTTCAAAATAAAACTTAATTCTTTTCTAAAATATCAAATAAATCTCATTTTTACATTTTATTCATTCTTTAAATTTTATTTATTGTATTTTATGTTTATTAAATTTTCATTTTACTGTTCTTAAAATATTATTTTTATACGGTTTGTATACTTTTATTGATTTATGTAATTTATTATATACTAATAATAAAAAAATAATGTAGAAAAGAGATAAAAATAAAAATAGAAAACTACATAAATTTTTTATTTGGTGTCATTTTAATTGTTTTGATGAAAACTTCAAATAATATATTTTGTTATAAAAAATAATTATTCTATTATAATTTAATAAATTACATAAATTAATTAAAATAAACAACTTATCAGAGATAAATTAGTCATTTTACTTGTTATGTTCAGTTTTATCTTACCAAACGTTGAATAGTTGTTCTATCATGTTCTGTTCTATAATGTCTTGTTCTATTCTGTATTGTCCTGTATTGTCTGGACACCAAACACATCCTAACGTAAAAAAAATATAACACACGTGTGGGGCCATTGCTGTTTTCCGACTTGGACGGGTATGGGAATATAAGTTGAGATCCAGATTGTTTGGACCGGGTATTTATTTTGCAATTCCTGGGTTCCCACTTCCCAGTGCAGGCTCTATTGGGCCATGTGACTGTCTGAGCCTAAGGCATGGCTTCAGTCTTCATTCAGATCTATTTGCATATGCTTCTTTTTTTTATTAAACAAATTTAAATATTACTCCATTCGTTCTAAAAGAAGTATATATATTATTATTTTATTTTGTTTTAAGATAAATATTTATTTTTTAAAATAAAATCCTACTTCATAAATTAAGAGATGTGAAAAAACTTCAGTCTTTTTCTTAATTCGACCATGTTATTATTAAATTTGATATTTCTAACCCTTCAAGGGTGGTAACTGATTGTTTTGAGTTTTGTTTCAAAGATCAAAAGTATCAGAAGATCACAGGTTCAAATTCAAGGAGGAATAAAAATCCTCTTTATAGCCACGGAGGTTCAAATGCGGTGACTCTAGGCTATCTGTAAAACAAGTGGTCATCCTGGGATTAATCGGCTCGCATAAAAAGTTGGATATCCAGGTTAATAAAAAAATATATGTGTTTTTTGGTGTGCGGTTGAATTTGATTGTGTGTGTGTGTGTTAAAAGCACATTTTTAATGTTTCTTTTATTGTTATGATTGGAGTTAGCTTAAGCATCGGTTCTGGACCATGATTTTGAGTGTTGCAATGTAGTTCAGATTAAAGAGAAAATTTGTACCTAATAAATTAAGATCGAAGTTGTTGCGATATTGTTGTCACTTTGATTAAGACATTATAGTAAAATCTGAATGTAGAACAAATTACTAAATAATAATAATAGGTTTTATCGGTATTTGATTTTTAAGACCCATGTTGAAAATTTTCAGAAATAGAAGTGAGGATTAAAAGATCGAGGCATGTAAAAGTCAAAGACGAATCAACATTTTACTTAAAGGGCGTTTATTAACACTTACTCGGTAAGTGCTTATCGGGTCAATTACTTTGTCGGATGAACATGTAAAGGATTGAGAATTTTACCCGGTAAGAGCGATGACAATAACCGAGAGTCAAACTCGGTAAGTGAGAGTGACGACTCTTACCCAGTAAGTATTTAAGTAAAATGGCCTCTTAGTGTTTTTCGTTACCAATTAATAGTCCCAACTACTTTTCCGTGGTGGAGGATAGGGGTTTAAACAAGTTGATGTTTTAACGAGCTTGAGCGTAATAATTCTCGAGGTCGAATCGATCTGGAACACAAAACAAAACTCGTTTAACTTAGCTTCATTACATCAATATTCGACACGTCTCGTTCGAAAACTCGATTAAACTTTTTGAGTCGAGTTGAGCCGATCCAATCGATCAAACATTTTTTTTAAGTCAAACATGCTTGTATGTTCATAAATCATACGATAAATATATAAAAATTATTAACCTCAAGACTATAATCGAGATTGAGCGTGGTATTTCTTTTCGAGTCCGACTCTAATAATCAAGTACTCGAGCCGGCTCGTTTACACCCGTGCTAGAAGAAGTGTTCTAATCCGTTTACATTAATTTTTCTATTGTTCTTATATACATATTAATCCAATCACATAACATCCAAGATCGCGTGGCCTAATGGATAAGGCGCTCGCCTCCGGAGCGGGAGATTGTGGGTTCGAGTCCCATCGCGATCGATTTTTACATCTCCAACAGCACCTCTTTTTCCAAAAAATAAAATAAAAATGATGGAATAGAAACGGGTGTGATATTTTTTGTAAACTCGTAAGGTAGTTTTAAAAAGTACATATGCATCACACTTGTGTGTTATTTCCTAATTATATGGTTTTATTCATATTAAAATCATCTCGAAAAACTTATATGTCATGAATTTTTATATATATATATATATATATATATATATATACTATATTAAAAAGCAT